TGAGGGGCCGGGCCTGGGCCTGTAGTAGCCTCAGGTGTGTGAGGGGCCGGGCCTGGGCCTGTAGTAGCCTCAGGTGTGTGAGGGGCCAGGGCCGGGCCTGTAGTAGCCTCAGGTGTGTGAGGGGCCAGGGCCAGACCTGGGCCTGTAGTAGCCTCAGGTGTGTGAGGGGGTGGTGTCAGGGCCCAGTAAAAAGGCAGCTCTGAGGATGTCACCACCTGCTGCTGAGGTTGGGTGACAATGACTGCGTGCCCTGGGGCAGGAGGAGATTTGTAGCAACCAAAAAAAGAGAAGGTCTGACTTAACAGTGGTGTGCCTTAAGGAGGAAAGGCCTCAAAGGAGAACAAGGAGCTTTAGTAGTGGCTAAGAGGTACAGATTAGGAAGAGCTCAGAGCAGAGACAGGGTAAGGTGATTTAATGCTGTTTATACCACATTCTGTGGTTCTCTACAGCTTCAAATCTAGAGGCAAATGCTCCTTCATCACTGTAAAGGCTTGCAGTAGCTTACTCTTTGATAGTGGGGTGTTTTTTTTTTAATTACTTTTTTGCTCAACAAAACTGAAGGAGCAGAGCTTTATCTTCTGTCAGTACCTCATGCAACTTTATTTTACTAACTGTTTCTGCCAGCTGTTCTCCTTTTGAGCTTTCTTCTAGCACCATCATTGTACAGCCCTTTGAAACTAAAGGTACAGAAACTTGAAAGCTATGTGTTCTAGGCTGAGGGTGTTGGTATGTGTTTTGTTCTTCAAAGGCCAAGGTACTATGTTACAGGTTTTCCTATTGCAGTCATCTAATTAATACAATAAATGAGTTGCCATGATCTCTGTTTATAAGATGAGCTTTGTCGCCTTTTTTTTCCTCTACTTCTTACAAACGGCAAGAAAACTACAGTGATTTCTGTGTCAGCTACTCTCTGAATAGCTGATGCTGACAAAGCAGGAGGCAGAAATCGTTCTTCAAACTGAGTGAATGTATGTAAAACAATAAACGAGTCGTGATGAGAAAAACAGCTTTGATGAAAACATGAGCCAAGAACAACAGCTTGACAGAGAAGTTTAAACTTTCCCTGATAGCTCTTTGGGGCGTAGACAGTTAAGTTTCTGCATTTGTAAGGGAAACATGGCATTCCTTAAAGCTGAACCTCCTCCCTTGGGTTCCCGCTGAATGCCTGAGAGATGACAGTAGAGGGTGTCTCCAGAAGGCTAATATTAAACATGAGGAATTAGTACAGAGGGAGCAACAGCAAGTGAGATTCCAGTTTTGACCACAGAATGAGCTAAAAAATTTTGCATCAGCAGCTGTGTGCAGTTTCTTACTCATTGGCTGCACACAGCTCCTTCTGTTCAAAGGGTTCTTGTGTGCCCTCATATTAGTAAATGCACTTGCCCTTTGTATGGTGTGTGAGAGGCGGGCTGCTCTTAAAGGATAAATTGGTTTTGGACAAAGTGCTGAGGCAGTGTAGTGTGGGATAAATTAACCTTGGAAGGGGCAGCCTTGGCTCAGACTTGCTTGCAGCTGGTTTGCTATCCATGGCAGCACAAACCAGGCTCGCAGGGAAGATGGTGGACTAAATGTGTGGGCAGGTAGAAGAGATGCAGACAGGAAAGGGGGGGAAAATAGTGTTTATAAAGGTTTAAGGGGGCTCTGGTTAGTCCTGAGAAGGGGCTTTAGCCAGTCCCATCTCTATTTTTAACTCTGTGACTGTATGACTTCAGGAAAGTTATCTGAACAATTCAAGCCAGGCACAAGTCTGTGGGGAGAGGACAAACCTCTTGGCACTGGGTGCAGCCTGAGCACCCAGTCAGCTCACGCGATGTGACAGCCACCACCACACCCTTTCCTCTTTGCCCTGCAGCCACGGGCAGCCCTGCCAGCTACTGCTGCCCCGAGGAAGGTAGAAAGATTGCTTTCCGAGATGCTGATAACCCCCAGCACCCGCATTACTTGGCAACGGAGAGGTGGTGGGCAGCTCTAGTGTTAGATCTCCCACATGCCCAGCCCAACGCCCTCCAATGGGACATGGAGCTCTGGGAACTGCTCTCGATAGTGTTGACTTTTAGCTGTGTCTCAGCCTCATCTCCTGTAAAAGGTAATATTTACTTATGTAAAAAGGTATTGGGAGTGCTTTGCATGGGTGTTCCGAGTTAAAAATTGTCAGTCAGGGCAAACAGATCTTTGGGGTGAGCTACAGGAAAGCAAAGCGCGTACACTGTTATTACAGTTCTTTTTGTAACAAAGAGTGTGACCTGGCGCTCCTCTCAGCTGCCGAACGCCTGGTTCAGCAAGTTTAAGAAAGTGCTGCACTGTTTTGAGTTCAGGCCTCCTTTAGATAAAACCTGTTCCGTTTCCTTTCTCTTGGCGAGATGTTCATGGTATCTCAGTGAGTCGGTAAGTTGTGTTAGAGGAATTCACCTCACAACTGTCAAGTGTTTAGTATGGCTCTGCTGGAGGCAATGAGACTAATTAGTTCTTCCCAGGTGACTTACAGAAAAGGGTGAAAAGAGAGATTTAGCCTAAAATATCAATGAGAGGCATTTTCATAGGGAGTGGGATTCTGTATTTAATGGCTCCCACACATGAATCTCGCTGTGGGATCTTGGTCCTTAGTTTTCTAGCAGTGTCTAGTTGGGAGGATAACCTGTACCCGGCAGGTGCGACACATTCGTAATGGCTTTGGACACTTGTTCTGTGAAAGCTGCTGCTTCCTGGCGTGAAGCAACCGCTCCAGCTGGGTGAAGGCGGGATCGCGGGACGTGCTCACTCGCTGCCCGGCTGCACGGGTGTGTCACGGCAGACAGGGCCAGCCTGGCGGCACAAAGGGAGAACGCGGCGCTCCGGAGGTCCAGGCAGAGCCCGCTTTCCCCCCGCAAAGTCCCTGAGGAGCGAAGCCTGCCGGACGCAGCCC